AACATCGGCAGCAGCAACAGTACCACCACCAGCCGCACCAGCAGCAGCAGCACAACAACCATCAGCAGCACCGCCCGCAGCAGCAGCACAAACACCACCACCTGCATCACCCGCAGCAGCAGCAGCACCGGCAGCAGCAGCAGCAGCAGCAGCAAGCTACTTCTCTGTTGTTTTGTCTTGAGTCTGCCCAGCCCCGCAGCAGCAAAGTTCTTCCTCTGTAGAGCCGCTCATCGACGCGGCAGTTGTAGAGCTCTACCAGCCGCAGCTGCGCCGCAAACGAGGGTTTAGGGTTTAGGGTTTAGGGTTTGAGGTTTAGGTGGGGCTTGGCAGGAGCAGCCGCGGCAGCAGCAGCGCCAAACCCACCAGCAGCAGCGCACGCAGCAGCAGCACGCAGCGCCCACAGCAGCAGCAAAAAACCAACCCTGTATTAAAAACCACCAGCAGCAGCAGCAGAACATCTGCAGCAGCAGCAGCAGCAGCGGCAGCAGCAGCAGCACCTTGAGGGCTGTTTCTTGGGGGGTGTCTTGGGGATTAAATTCTAAATCTGCAACAAGAGCTTCAGCGTCCTCATCGAATTCGACGTCGAACTCGCCGCGGTTGGCAATGAAGCTGCAGCAGCCAAACCCTAAATTAGGGTTTAGGGTTTAGGGTTTGGACTTGGGCGAGGGGTTCAGGTTTTAAGCTCTAGGGTTTGGCATTGCATGCAGGAAGAAAACGCCAAGATTCACGGAAGTTAGGGTTTAGGCTTTGCTGCTGCCAACAACTCAATTAGGGTTTAGGGTTTAGGGTTTAGGGCTTAGGGTTTAGGGCTTCCTACCCCTGCACGCAGTGCTGCTGCGGAGAAGCGGCAATAACAGCAGGAATCCAACTTGGATGAAATGCTGCTGCTGCTTGCTGCAGTTCAGCCAGAGAAGGCGCTGCTGCTGCTGTTGCTGCTTCTGTTTCTCCTGCTGCTGCTGCTGCTGCTGGTGGTTTTGTCCCTGCAGCTGCTGCTGAGCCAAAGACCTCCGCCTCCAGCTCCCGCAGCAGCAACTCCTCCTCGCTTACTTCTGCTGCTGCTGCTGCTTCTGAGCCGTTCGCTGCTGCTGCTGCTGCTTCTGCTGGATCTCTTGCTGCTGCTGCTGTTGTTGGTGCTGCTGCAGCTGCTGCCGAATCGGTCGCTGCTGCTGCTGTTCCCACTGTTGCTGCTCCTTTCACAGAAGCACCCTCCTGTGTATCATTTGCTGCTGTTCCTGCTGTTGCTGCGGCTCCATCTGCTGCTGCTGCTGCTGCATCCGCTGCTGCTGCTGGCGCACCTGCAGCTGCTGCTGCTGCTGCTGCAGACCCTGTGGGCGTTCCCGTAGGCGCACTTTCAGCCGCAGAAGCCCCCTGCCGCTGCTGCTGCTGCTGCCGCA